CTCGTGTTCTCTCCCTGTGGTATAATTTCCCCCCAAAAAAGAAAATACTTTGCTTCTCTCACAGTGAAAAACATATTTGTATTAAAATACAGCACAGTCCTTTATTTTGACTTAATATTGTCTGAACAAATAGGAGAAGAAACAAACAAACTGTTGTGGTGATTACACCCAGACTCCTGAGTGTAATCAGGAGTGGCATCGAGATCCACAATGTCCTGCTGGAGAGCCGGTGATTGTGCACAGGAGGAGGTGGGGCTGCGGAGGTGTCGGGGTGGGGTGTTCAGCCCACAGATTCATGACATCCTCTTCCAGAACCTTGTGGACTGATTGCACGTCCAGGAAATGCATGCAGCAAACGGATATTAAATCACCACAGGTTATTGCCATGCCCAGGCGGGACTGAGTCCGAGCGTGGGCAAAATGCATCCACAGCTCACCCCTCCAAGCACTCGAGGCGACGGGAGAATTACATTTCTATGGGGGCTGCAGACGAGTTAGGCAATCTCCCTTTCCCACGGCGATGATTAATAGTGATGGTCTCATAAATTGTTCTGTCCGAGAAATATATTGCCGCCATAGTATCTGTTGTTTTGCACTGCAAGGCCGCTCTGAGCTGAGGGCAGCAGCTGGATAAGCAGTTCACAGTCAAGTGCTGACCCCAGGAACTCCTGTCACCCTACAGCGAGACCTCGGCTCCAACCATCAAAACCAATAATCGCTCTCTATGCAACAGTATAGTTCAAAATGCTTTGAAGTGAAATTAGGCACTCGGCTGAGATCAGAGATTTGTCACACTGCTCCCATTTTAATCTCACCCATCCTGATTGCGCCCCACAGCTTGTCCCCCATCATCCAAAAAAAGGAATCTCGATTTTTTAGCTGAATGCTGACGTATCTCAATTTACAGAGTAATGATTGTGATTACACACACTCACATAAACACAAAATATGCAAACCAAACAGCAGACATATTACAGTTTACAAGTAATATTGCTGTATACAGCAGTAATTTACCACAGAAAACAGCACATGTATATACTGTATATATGTGTATATATAAATTGATATTTTCCATCTGATCCATCAGATTAGTTGTAGATTAATCGTGATCAATTGACATAAATAATTTTCCTTAAAATGACAAATAAATAACAGGTACATTTTGTCATTTTCATCTATAGAAAATTGTATTGTGATTAGTTCATTTATAAATCAACTTTTCCTAATGTAACAATACTATATATATATATATATATATATATAAAATATATATATAAATATATTTGATCTTTCGTCAGCAGTGTTGTGCAGTAGTAGCTTCTGCTTTTCTTCTTCTCTTGCCTAAAACGTTGGCTCAGCTCTGACTAATTTGGACCTGAGTTTTTTAAGGCAAGCCTGGAATCAGCCCAGTTTGTCTCCACGGCAGCCAACACTGAGAAATACTCTGATAGCCTCGGCCTGCAGGTCAGCAACCTCCACGTTGAAAACACACCTGAGCTGAAAAAATCCCAGCGACGCTGACTTAACTTATCTTCCTGATAAGTGTTATAGATTTAGGTGGAAGCATATTGATGAGCTGACTGAGAATGGGTTATTGTGCACTTTGCCAATAGCCTGTTAAGCAGAAAATCCACAGCACTCAATCAAGCCATGGCCTGCAGCGGTGCTTTGATCAATGGAGCCTACAAGGGAGATTTCCCTGCACTTTCAGGCAACAGGCTCTAAAGCAACAGCAAACTGAGGAGAAGGTTTAGTTCCACTGGGAGTCTGACAACATGCGCTGCTGAAAATAGGACACAGAAAGTTTAGTTGACAGGAATAAAGTGTTTCAAAAGTTACGCTTTATGACAATTAGATTTAACCATAAATCTGCCAGACTTACTTCTCATTTGATAAAGATTAGGAAAAGCATAATTCAGATTAAAACAGAAATTACACTTTTTAATATGATTCCTGTACAGTTGTAGCTTCAGTCTAGAATCTCTTTCTCGACAGTGAAGTTTAATAGGTCTCTGCTGCAGCAGTCGGGCTTGGTACCTAACAAAACAAAACAAAACCTTGTGTGAAAAGAAGACGATAAGTGAAATAAATGAAGCATAAACACGTTGTGGATTCTTCACGCAGATTTGTATCCCAACAAATGTTAATTCCCGGAGACAATGTCAACAACTCACCCCGTGATGGCTGGCATTTGTCAAAGTGAGGCAACAGTGGGCTAATGTGTCTGAGATGTGTGATATAGATCACACTAATGGCTCCTCATCCTTTACCAGCAGAACACGGCTGCTCCTCCACTCTGGCTTTTTTCAATTTCTACTGAAAATGTACAAATCTTCTAACACAGAAATCAATTTGTATCCACTTATAAACTTTGGTTAATCTTTGTTTTATTTTTTATTTTATTTTCTCACATTCCACCACCGACATCATTAAGATTATTTTAGATTTTAAGGTTCACTGTAATTTCTCATGCTTGTGTTGATCATCTATGACTGGAGAAAATTAGACACCGATTATTTATCGATACCTAGCTATACAGTCTTGCAGTATTTGTATACATTCTGGTTGTTTTGTTGCATTATTCAAATCTATTCCATTCTGATTTAATCTGTACAATTAACCTTTTACCAACATTCTGGCGATATTCTTAACACGGCATTCTGGTTATTTGTAGCATTATTCAAATTTAATCTCTGTAATTCTGATTTAACCTCTACAATTTCATCAATTTCATCTCTGCAACTTTGGGGTGACATTCTCTGCAATAGTTTAGTCAACTATGTTAAAAACCACTGATAACTTCAAATTTATTTACTTAGTGCCGTACATACTGTACTTGTTGTTATGATTACATATACCATGCAGTTAATTTTATAGTATTTTTAAACCCATTATCTACTGTATCTCCTACACTTCAGTCTCACCACAGCTGTAGAACCAATAGTTCCTCCAGTTTACACATTTTTCTGTCCATAACAAATGTAAAATGGAATCACTTTCAAATGATTCTGCTATGGTGCCTGGTCTTAAACATACTAATTAATTTTACATAGTCTAGTAAAATGATTTTCCCGCAGGAATATACTTTCCTCTGTAATTATGTCCCATAATCCGTTTTCTTACCGACTACATTGACTACATAATCCGTTTTCTTACCGACTACAGGAATATACTTTCCGACTACAGGAATATACTTTCCTCTGTATAGGAATATACTTTCCTCTGTAATTATGTCCCATAATCCGTTTTCTTACCGACTACATTGGTTTTCACATATCCCTAACAGTGACACAGCTTACAGGAGCATGTTTCTTAATTGGATGATGTGACGAATATTGTGTTAGGATATTCTATTTTTATACCATGTACTAAGAGGACATACTTTCAGAGCTGTTAATCTGGTTTGGTGCTTATACTTGACAACATTCAGGTTTGATAGCATTTAAATCACACACATATTTATCAGTGTTGTCGAAGTAAATAACAATGTAATTTTCCCTCACTTGTTTTTTTATGGCTGGGATCAGGTCAAAAGTTATATGCACCTTGTTTGTTTTTATTTTCCTTTCTTTTTTCTTAAATTCTGGCAACCCTTTGACCAGACGGTGGGAGTCAGCTTTTCCTTTGCCCCTTGATCAGCCTCTGGTGAAGGGAAGATAACCCCTGGTGCAGGTTGCTGTCAGCTTGTTTACTCGGAAGAAAGATGAGGCTGCACATGGGAAGAAGTGATGGATGAATCCGTCTTCCAGGAAGAAGCTCCTGTGTTTTTTATATGTGAAGTAGAAAGGTTCAACACCTTCACACCCAGGCAGTAAAGCAGAGTGTGCTCCTTACTTTGGAGCTAACGCAGCTTCATCCTTTTCTTCTTGTCTGTTATTATATGTATTGATGCTGTGAAAAGATATTTGAACCCATAACGTTATCTCACATTGTGTTTCATAACGTTTCTGGATTTGTGTCAGGATACGAACTCCTCCAGGGCAAAGCACTAGATCATTTTATGGTGTGAATCCATTCTGAAATGATGGATTTCTCCTTCAGTGTTGGGGAAGTGGGGGTGTGGGTGGGGGTACTCTATATGAAATGAAGCCCTTCTGTTCTGCCTCATCAGATATCTTCAGACTGGAGGCCTGCTTCCTGACCTTATTCTTGTCAAAAGTTCTAAATGGAAAACAGTAACAGAAATATTGCACCCGCAATTTCATATAAATATGATGTATGAGAGTATTTTGGTTACATTTCTACAAGGAGCACTTTGTGCACTTGTCCAATGTAAACTGTGTTTGTCAGCTTGGATATTGTGCGATGCTGAATATGTGAAAATTGACATGTTGTTATATTGTTTAACAAGTGTAGTGTTTCAATGTATTTTTTTGAAATGTTACATTATGTTATTTAGGCTAAATGAGAAAATAAATGTGGTGAGCTTCCAGTCCTGATGCACTGAAGATGAAAATGTTCGGACGGTAGGGGGAGCCAAAACTCGGTTAAAATAAAAGTGGGAGAACGCATGCATAAAAAAATAAATGGATAAATAGATAAAATAGAATAATTCTGAAAATACATTTATGATTTACTAATACAATTTTATAAACCACTATGTAAGAGACCAACTAGCATGATGTTCCTTAATATAAACAGAATTCCAAATATAACATGAGATTAAACAGTACCAAAAACTCTTTTGTATTGCCATAAAATGCAAGGGAGGCTAAAAGGATTATTATATATAATATAATAGACATATAGACATAAAATTCAAAAAGCTTAATCCCCTTTATAGACATAAAATTCAAAAAGCTTAATCGAAGATCAGGTCACACGTTCGTTTTTCTGGTTATCCGAGATGATGGTATATAACATACAGTAGTTCTAATTATCGGTGTAGCACTCCGGTCCAGCAGACGGCGATGGTGCACTTTTATGTAGCTACCACCGTCAATAGATTTTTCACAACAGAAGTTCCAGCCAAGTACTTCCTGTGTTCACGTAAGGTAGGCTAAAGCTACACAACACTGTACACACTGAAGAGAGTGGCGTGATATTGAAGGAATAATAATATAATAATTGTATAGTAACCGCATGTTTCACTCACGACGACACATCGATCTTATGGCTATTTTTTCCTTCGTTGCCATGTTTTCTCGAGCAGGAAGTCTCCCCAGGGTGTTGTGGACCGGTTGTCGAAGGTTAATCTTGCTGGCTTTACTACAAAGAAATCTGGCTAGTTTGTTGATTAATGAAGTATATGGGGCTACAATCGGAAGTATGTGACAATAAATATACTATTAATACAATGTAGTCTCAGGCATATTTTGACTTCGTAGCGGACGTTGAATAAAAGACGGTGGTTGGTTTACAGCCACGTGTTTACAGAACGATTTGAGACATCTGTTTAATATAACTTAACTAATGTTAATGTTAAAAGTACCACATTCGTATAGTAACAGCTCTGGTTGTAACGTTCGTATTTCATCTGATCCCCAACAAGTTCGGTATGCTCGAGATTCCCTAGTATAATAACAATCTGTTATAAACATGTACCTTTTCATCACCTTTATTCGTTATACATCGAAGCCGTTTTACTGAGAAATGACAAGAGTGTGGCAAATATTTGATACACTTCGATACACTTCAAATCAATTATTTTTTCCTGAAATCTAAACATTTTTATTGTACCTGGTGAGGTTTGGCATAATGCCTGCACACAAAAAAATCGGAGCCCCTTCGTGTTGTCTTAATCCAGGATTATTGGGGACAATAATCTTACTACAGTCTCAGACACCAGAAGGAGTAAATTACCATCACGTAAATCGTGACATTCGGTAGCTTGAACCGGAGTAGTCGACATGTTTATTTTCAGGACAGCAGTTTGTCTTTGCTTATTTATTTTGTTTATGTTAGATCACATTCACAATGTGTCCTCTATCCGCACTTTCCCGTTTATAAGGTTATTTCACAATCGTAGACTTTTAAAATGAGTTTTTAAAATTGCAGTTTATCTTTTTAACAAATACTTTGTTGTAGTGTTGCGATCTAATATTGTTATTTGCATCTTTTAGAATGGGAAATTACACTTCCTCCTCTCCTGGGAGTCAGACGAGCACAGCTTGTGCACAGTATGTTCAGGTACGTAGAGATGTACTTGTTTTTACCAGCTTTCATCTTGGAGTGCTGCGTGAATGTACCAAAAAACTAACTTTTCTCTGTCACAATTTAGTGCACCTGTAAAGATATTAGAAATATGTCTTTAATTCTGTCTAATCTTTTAGGAAGTGGTGTCACAGAACTGTGTGGTGATATTTTCTAAAAGCACCTGCCCCTATTGCAAAATGGCCAAAAATGTGTTCAATGAAATTGGTGCTACGTACAAATTGATTGAACTGGATGAACACAAAGATGGGGGAGGATTGCAGGATGTCTTGACTCAGATGACTGGTGCCAGAACGGTAAGAAACTTGTTAGTCTGTAAAGTCGTAAGGAAGTAAAGTCAAAAATGTAACTTCTGTAAGTATTCCATTATCCCACTTACTACTAATTATGTCTGGTTCCAGGTTCCACGAGTCTTTGTGAATGGAAACTGCATTGGTGGTGGTTCTGACACCAAACAGCTCCATCAAGAGGGAAAGTTAGTGCCCTTGATTAACCAGTGCGCTCCCTGCTGCACTGCATCTAGCTCCGAAGGTTCAGGCAGCGGGCAGTACAAATGACTAGCTGTTTTTGTAGGATTTTTTTATTCTGTTTTTAATTACATGCTGTTCTGACCTTGTGTTACAAGATGTAGATGGCTTGAGTATGACAGATATTTATTTTTTAAAGTACATTGGCTCATTGGAATACGCTTGTGTTCATGTGGTGTATTTTACTTTTTTTAATTAAAGCTGTCATCTTTTAAACAACTACTGTACAGATATGTTGAAACAATTTTACACTCACACACTTGCATTACCTCGAGGCATCTGTCATCATCAAACTGTGATTGTCATTAAACACACATGCACCTGTTGTTATATATATTCAAAAACACGTAGAAATATATTAGATATATGCACGTTTATTGTTTAAGGACTTTTCTTTTCAAATGCACATCAAAGCATTGTCATTTCTTATTAATGTAGTTGGCAGAATTGTTTTAGAACTATTTAATTTTTTTAGAAGTTGAAATGTTTTTTTACTGTATATTTCTAAGTAAGCATGTCAAAGTAAAAATAGTTTTTGAATGAAATGAGGCCTTTATAAAACTGCAATAGGAATGAAGCACCTCCCTGGATATTTCCATTTTGGATTACTTTGTTTTATGGAGTTTTGATGTAATTGTTTATGTTGAAGGCTGCCTATGTAATCACAGTGAACCTTTGATATTTGCTTACTAGGACCTTTGTGAATGTATGTGGTTATAGTACATGGTTGCATTATATTATGATATTTAGATTTGTGGGGAATTAAGTCAAATTGAATTTACAATCAAATATCTTCTACCAAAAAAAGGAATATCTTTGAAAAAAAAAAATAAAGAATGTACCACAGTTTTTCTTTTTACCTTTAGGTTTTATGTATGTATACCTACCTTGTCTTTACCTTAGTTTTCACAGTGTGTGTAGTTCTACCTTAGAAGGGAGTTGTGTTAATTGTTAAACTAAACAATTATGAGTTTTCACTTCAAAGTTCCGGTCTGCGGCACATGCAGCATAAGAAAATTGCTAAAAGGGATGTCCATTCACAAGGTAGAAAACTGTTTTTTCAATTCCTGTACTATAAATACTTAATTTTAAAAACAGTATTTATCACATTAACCATACAATGGTGATTTAAATTTATTACAATGGGCCAGTTCAGGTGATTAGTCTATGTCCCTGTTCCCTGGGGTGTCCAGTTTTCTGACTTAAGCCAAGTTAGTGATAAAAGACAAAGCTATTTAGTTTTTGTGTGGGTGTATATAAAGTAAATTGGCAGTTGAATATACTACGCGTAAGGGGTCGCCTTACCACCTAAAAATATTGTCCAGGTAAGAGCAGGCACTGCGCAATAGCGCGAATTACCCTGGTTAGATTTATTTTTTTATTATCACCCAACTAATTCCGGTAAGTATGAAGACATAAAACAAGTGCACCCCTCTATGCGGCCAATAACCACGTGGACATGTTACAGCCAATAGCATTACGTTAATGACGTCAGTCCCTCTTCTTCATTTACATTAGCTTGACAGGCTGGTCCGTCCATATAAGCTAGCCATTTGTTTATGTTTACAGCAGCTTAATAAATAAAATTGTTGCAAAAATGTCCGGCAGTGCAGGAGAGTGGTGTCTGATGGAGAGTGACCCGGGGGTGTTTACAGAGCTGATAAAAGGTTTTGGTGAGTGGCTTGTCGCTCACTGCGTCCCAGTCATTGTAACGTGGCTATACGACGGCTATACGTGCTAGTTAGTTAGCCACCGTGGAGCTACCAGACAATTATACATGTTATTATGTTCTTTATCCGTGCTATTTTGTTTATTATCCCATGGAATTCAGGCCTTTGTCATGGGATTCAATGGGTTATGATTTTTGGTTGGCTACCCTGGTTTTGGTATATTCTAACAGTTGGACTGTATGAAAAATGTAGTGAGTGCTAACCGGCTAGCATTACTCAGCGTTCAAAACCACGGCGCGTAAAAACATTATTCACGTGTGCTGGAAAATGCCAAACAAGAACTGATTTTGGCATGTGTTTAAGCTTATTCATTTCCCTTTGAACCACTCAATCGGTACAGGGCATTCACGGGAAAATCAAGTCAAATTGTAAATGAGTGTGTAATGGTCCACTTGTCATTGCAGGCTGCAAAGGAGCCCAGGTAGAGGAGATATGGAGTATGGAGCCAGAGAACTTTGAAAACCTTAAGTATGTTCATGCTTGCACCCCGTATGATCTGTCACATTTGCCCACGTGAGACCAATTTTGTAATTGTTCTGTTCCAGACCAGTTCATGGTTTGATATTCCTGTTCAAGTGGCAGCCTGGCGAAGAGCCAGCAGGGTCAATCGTTCAGGATTCAAGGCTGGATCAAATCTTCTTTGCAAAACAGGCATGTTGAGCTTTATTTTTCATATCAACAAATGCGTTTACCTTGTTTTCTGTTTTGAAGCAATAAGTCAAAAGCCACTTTGTCTTTTATGTTTCCTTCCTGATAAATTTAATTATCATGAAGCTGAATTGTACTTTACAATGAACAAGTCCTTAAACTTGCAGACTACTTTCTAAATTGCAACACTTACAAGTAAGATAGTTTGTATTTGTATAAATGATGTGTATGAATAGCATTTTGCATGACCATTATAAAAATAAGGTGGAAATTCAGGAGCAGAATAACAAAGATAAAGTCAAATAGATTGAATTATGAGAAATTAAATTACTTTTCATGTGTAATTATGTGCTTCTTAAATGACGGGGTTCTATAATTGTTGATGTTGTTGTGGTTGTTGTTATTACAGTTATCACACCTTTAATAACAGCTTGTTCTCCTTTGGTAATATGTAATTTGTTTGTTGTTTATTCAGGTTATTAACAACGCCTGTGCAACACAGGCAATCGTCAGTGTTCTACTCAACTGTTCCCATTCTGACATGTTGCTTGGAGACACGCTGACAGAGTTCAGAGAGTTTTCACAGAGTTTCGACGCTGCTGTATGTTTATGGTATTTTCATCTCCCATCAACAATAATGAACTTTCTCATCTGTGTTATGTGATTGATTGACTGGTCTGTTGTGTTTTTGGTACTGGTGTAGCTGTTATTTAAGAAACAATGTGTGAAGGGAGACAATACTGACTTTGTGATGTATTTGGTCTTATTAATCTCATTATGTAGTTAGCCTGTAATAAATCTTGTTACCCAGTTTGGACATCTTCCAGACAAGCCAATAATTCTTTGTTTATTATTTTCAGATGAAGGGTTTGGCCCTTAGTAACTCTGAAGTAATTCGACAAGTTCACAATGGTTTTGCCAGGTAAGCTGCTTTTAGGTTATATCCAGACACACAGTTATTTTTCATTTTGTTTATTGTTATGTAATCACATCACATTAAAAATGTTTTGAGTTTGCAAGTAAGCACTTGATGATGACCAATAAAAACAAAACAAAAGAACTTCACACAGGATTTTTTTGTTTTTTCTTTAGACAACAAATGTTTGAATTTGATGCAAAGTCATCAGCGAAGGACGAGGACGCCTTTCATTTTGTGAGCTATGTTCCTGTAAATGGCAGACTATACGAGCTGGACGGACTTCGGGAGGGACCAATAGACCTGGGTAAGCAGAATTTTTTGCAAGGAGCTTTTAGTTCTAAAATTGACAGTTTAATGTCTAAAGCCCTCTGTGTGAGTTCTTGCTGAGCACCTTTAAGTTTTACTAACCTGTTGGCTATGGGCAATTTCCAGTAAAACTGTCTGTTTTTATGAGGATCTACAGCATCTGCTTAGTTCTTGTTTACACAACTGCAATATTATTTATCATTGTCCTTTTTTTTTAATCAGGTACATGCAACCAGGATGATTGGATCAGTGCTGTCCGTCCAGTGATTGAGAAAAGAATACAGAAGTAATCCTCCGACTCTTCTATAACATAGAAGATAACAGCTATAACAATTAATTTTTAATAAGTTAATTTTATTTCTTTATCTTCTTTAAAAACTCTCAACTTAATTTATTTGCACAAGTAAAATAAATGAACATTCATGCATGTGACATTAATTAAAGTCTCAAATTGGTTAACATTTATACAATAAAATGGTATCTCTAACTGCATATATTTTATTTTATTTATAGGTACAGTGAAGGAGAAATCAGATTCAACCTTATGGCCATTGTGTCTGACAGAAAAATGATATATGAGAGAAAAATTGCAATGCTCCAGACTCAGCTGACAGAGGTGAGTTGGTCACAGTAAGCAAAAACATTTTAAAGCTAAATTCTGTCCATTATCAAGAAATTTTTTTTATTTGTTTATTATTGGATTGTTGTCATTATGGCCTTGTATTCAAGTTGAAAATGAAACATCTTTATTGTCTCGTCAATCCTTTGTTTTCCTTTTTGGAAAGTCCTCGGGTTATTGTTGTTACTGTTGTTGTGGTTGTTAAATGGCATCTGCTGCATTTTTTTTTTTTCTCTCCGACAACAATCGTAGGTGTTGTCACAGGTGCATTCTGCTGCACTTCCACCCAAAAAAACGGGGGAAAATTATCACGCTTTAAATACCTGTCTTAGCGCTCTTGCACATTTGAACCACTAGAGAGCAGCAACAACCACGTGTTTATGGTCTGCATTTAAAGCTATATGGGGTTATTCCAATTTAAAGCCTTAAACCTTCTGACATTTTTATTCTGGAATTCTAGTCTTTTGTATATTTTTATCCGATTTTGATTTTAAACAAACCAGATGTCATCAGTGTTCTCCTCACGGCTGATTGTCCTAAGTTTTGCCTTTCATTCCCATGTCTATGTACACGGTGTAACCTTGTTTTCTGCTGTTATCTTTTTGCAGGATGAGCCGATGGACACGGATCAGAGCAGCACGTTTCTAAGTTCCATCCAGTCAGAAATCGCCAAGTACCAGCTTCTTATTGACGAAGAAAATCAGAAACTTAAACGATATAAAGTGAGTCACACCTTTCTGTTACAGCCTCTGTTTTACAACTGCAGAAAACACCTTGCTTTATTTAATTGTCTGTTCTGCTTTTGTCCAGTCTGCCTCATTTCATGCACAGTGATAAATGAGTGGAACATGTTCCCCAAGGAAATTAAAACGTATAGATTATTTAATTTTCTCAAGAGGAAATGAAATTTCAAAAGTGTACAAAGTTGCTACCAGTAATAAGTTCACAAAGTTACAATGTTAAACTTTAATTTATTTTTGTCCGAGTGCTAAGTCAGTTTGTACATGTTTTGTTATTGAGTTGCTTTTTATTTTAGGACTGAATATGTAAAATAAGGTTCCAGTACATATTATTAAATGTTTTTTGGGGGGTGTTGTTACAGATTGAGAACATTAGACGAAAGCACAACTACCTTCCTTTCATCATGGAGTTACTGAAGACACTGGCAGAATATCAACAGTTGATACCACTGGTGGAGAAGGTATTGTTGTCATATTTATGTCCTAGCTCCTACAATAATTCAGTAAGTTCTGTGACATAGACCCTTAACCAATAGTTAATCATAGTATTTCTGAATTCTTAATGTATTAATAGTTTAATTTAAACCAGTATTATTAGTAATTAAGGTCAATGCTAATGATAGCAGAGAAGGTTTCATAGCTGCATTCATTTGAGAATGTGACTTGTTTTTCCTCTTTAAAAACGCAGATATAGCTAATATTTAATTTTTTATATTTAAAAATAATTGATAAAATGTTTATCAATAGGAAAAAATTGAATTAAAAATCTTTAAAAAAAAGGTTAATATTTCCAAAACTATTTACAGCAGACGTGAATGTGAGGTGACCTTTAAATCGTTGGGAGTCAACAAATATAATAATATATTTATATTTGTAAACAACAAGATTTTGATACGGTGGTTAGCGGTGTCGTAGCATTCAGCAATCGAGTCACGTTTTTTTTTTTTGTTTTTTTTTTATCTTGTATAATATATTTCAGTGAAGTAATACTTCATCATTAAGGTGCAGTAGGCGTAGGCATAAGTAAACCAATGTGGCTCTGCTTATATGAGCTACAGTATATTGTCAGCTGATCCTATTGTCTGTGGGGGCTCTGACCAGAACATGTCTGGGTGTTTTCCCACCAGGCCAAGGAGAAGCAGAGTGCCAAAAAAGCCCAGGAGGCCAAGTAAACATCCAACCAGTCGGACAGAGAAGCCTCTAAATACGATCACAATCATAGGCACGGTCACTGTCATCAGTGAGACACAAACCAATCACATACATCGTCTGTCATAATCATATTAGTGACCGCAGATGGTCTGCAGCAGCACTGTCGCGTCCTGTGAGCCTTACAGACTGTAAGGAGTGTATGACGGTTGTAGCAGAGACTCTCTTTCTTTCTCTCTCTCTGTCTCTGTCTCACATCCACCTACCCACCATGTGTGTCCAGCTATGTTGCATGATAGAAGGAAAATGCTTAAATAATGTCTGTCTTATTTTCATAATAAAATGTTTAGATGTTAATGAGTGGTTCAGTGTCGTTGACATAAATTCACACCTGGAGTGATGATTATTATATTCAGTTATTTATTGTTGGAGCTGGACACTGGCACAGTTATCAAATGCGTTTTGAGATCTTTGCTGCCACCTACTGGCGATACAATTAAAAAGTTAAACATCGTATTCCTCTCTGCAGTTTAACCACATTACATTGAGATCTGTGTTTTAGAGCTGATGAAAGCCCACGGCCCAGTTGCCAAGGACTGATGTAAATCTACGGACTGTTTGAATCGTTCAAGAACTTCCCGTAGTAGTTAACTGACACTTTGTACATGCAAGCCCAGAATAACCTGGTTATTTGTATTGTAAATCAACCGCTGTTTTATACGGTGTAACACAGCCATACTTGGCTGACTCCTGGACCGTGTTGTAACACATTGGGTCTTTGTGTGTGCGCGTGTTTAATGCCCTATGTAGCGTGACGTAGTTGCAGTCTCTGCTGTCAGACAGCAGAACGTGCTCCTGGTCTGTTTTTAGCCACAGTGTTTACATCTTCACCTCGGGTTCTCTTTGGATTTGTTCCCAGTCGTCCGTTGTCAAGGTGTTCAATAACAACAAACATAAACTTCAGATGGAAATAAAATCCAGATCCAGTTCACTACTATAACATTATCCATGATATTGAAGTTTGCCATTATTTACTTAAGTATACACACAGGTTGGCCATGGTAGTTGACACTTAAAAAGATTTGGCTAAAATTAGCCACAGACGATTGGATAAAGAAAGGCGTGCAGTGTGGCTAAAATGAAAGGCCAGTGTTTGTTAGCACAGACTCATTATCCTGGAAAATCCTTGGAGAACATCACCAATTGAAGTTGCAACCAATCTGTTGCTAATTACTTTTCTAGAGTTTTTTTTGATGATGATCAGCTGTAAAAACATCACTTTTATTATTTTCTTTTTTTTTTTTTTTAATCCTCTTTGTGCAGTCTGTGTAATATCAGAAAGCTCAGCTGGAGCTCAGTCGTCCTGACCGTGGTGGTCATCGGGGTCTGCGCTGTGTTGTTATCAAAGCTGTTTGTTGATGCAGTTGGAGTTGTAGTCACTGCATTCTGTGCTGCAGTGTGTGGTTATTGGTGTCAGTGTGGGCCTTGAATTATCGCAACACTATTATTTGAGTTTTCAGTGTGCGCTGAAGTTGTGTTCCATGCCCCCTGCGAATCCTTCCTTTCGATAACAGGTCCTGCCAAGCGGGAAATGTGACTTTAAATATTACATTGTTAGAGGAAATAACCCATTGTTTTACGTTTATTGATAATATTTGACCATTTGTTTAATCCTTACTGGAAACCAATCTGCTGCTTAAAAAAGCTGCTGCTGGTTAAAAAAAAAGAAGATATGATATACTGACAGTATGATTGCAGGCCGCAGGTCTGACTGGAGACCAGGAAGTGTCATACATGTCTGAAAGTAAGGTCCAGGTGTCTGGACACTGTCAGTCTCCTCTGTGAGGTCAGAACCTGAGAGAGAGTGTTGTCAGTCAATCTCATCTTTTGGTCACCTTTAATTACATGGGTGTTGGTACTGTATGAAAACGATGGCCTGATTGCTGTCAGCTGCACAAAGAAGTGACGTGTTCAACACGAAGTTGAAGAATGTTGTTGCACAGCTTAATTCTTTTCAAGTACGCTGCGTACGTGAAACCGAACCTTAGATACAACCAAACACTCCAAGAACATTGCTGTGAATGGAAAACGGTAAATAAAGGAGGTTTAGTTCCACCCAGTCATGTCAACCTTCACAAACACAAAAGCTATTCACTCCCTGTATTATGAGGCTGATGTTAATGTGACGTATCCAGGAGAATTTTGTAAAATACATTCATAGATTTCAAAATTCAAAATACAATATGAAGTTTGGGATTTATTTCAAATTCATACTTTGTGATACAAACATGTTTTAAAAATTAAATCCATCTTAGAACTTGTTGAGTAACCGATTCCTGAGCCTCATGTGCATCATTAGCCTCTTTTCAATGTCCCCCTGCAAATTTAGCCTGACTGACACATCAGACCAGTATTAGCTAGCTAACAGTACTAACAATAAGAAGGGGCTGTAAAAATTTAGACATCACACTTTTTTCCCGCTTGCTTGGTAACAGCAAAACCCTTTCTCCAACTCGTAATCAGGTGTGCCGTTTTTCACTGTGTGTGATTGTAGTGTGTTATAATACATATTGAATATTGTTGATTTGATCTTTGCCAGCATTTGAAAATAAGCATCTTGATGTTTTTTTTTTTCTTTTGGCACTACACCATTGAACCGTCTTTATTTTTATACTTTTTCATAAATCTGTAGTATGACTACAGTACTTAAAATTACCCGATTCAGTTATATGGTTAAAATTGTTTGGCAGGTCTCTGGGATTTTTATTGGTTAGTAAAATGAAAAAATCAATATGACATTTGGTGTCACGGGATTGGGGGGAGGGTAGTGTATTAAAAAACAAACATTTCAGCAAAAAATCCACTTTATTTGTCAAGCAGTCCAGCTGCTCCAAACATCAATTCACTTTTATAACAATTCAAGCACATCTCACACGTAATATTGCAGTATTTACAATAAATAACATTGTGACAAAAGTGATACAAACTCTGCTCTCCTCTGTCACCTCACAAACTAGTACTTGTCTTAGTGGAAAAAAAGAGAGGAAAAAAGTGCTTTTATTTATGCTACAACAGTCAACAGATCTGGCAACAAAACTCAGGACCACACAGGAAGCTTTACAACTTCTCGAATTTAGAGAACACGGGTTTCCTTTCGGACACTGAAGACTTAAAGCTGCTTCTTGTTTCGTCATCTATTATTAAATAATAAATACTGGCGCCTCTGCAGCATCGTTTTTTTGTTGAATGGATACAATGCTGAAATTGCAGAACTCCAAAGTGCCGTTAGGGAACCCAAATGATAAATATGTTACTTTAATCCCATCTGATTGAAATGCTGCTGACTCTGCCTGCAGCCTAGTCCAGCATCCAGTTTCATGTTTGTAGTTAAGCGCTCACAGGAAGATGGACCGAAAACTCGCTCCCAAATAGTGCCGTCCTCACTGGCCAGTCATGATAATTCTCAGGGTTTACATTCAGGTCTGTTATCCTGAAGCAGTGTCTGGAATAAACACCTGTCTGTCTAAAAGGTAAACAAGTGACTTCAGGAGTTTTTTTGTTGTTGTTGTTGTTGTTTTTACTGCTACTACAACTTTCTGTGGTCGACCTGCCCGCTGGCTGCCGCACACAGTTTTTGGTAAAAGTCTGAGTTGATGAAGCGAGTATAGGAGTTGTTCTCCATCAGACTGTAGACCTTCATCTGTGCTGCCAAGAAGCAGGTGGGTGTTGGCTGGTGGAGGCTCTGAGAGATGGCATTCTTAGTGTGGTAGTCCAGGTTTATCTGTTCAGAGAGGAGAAGAAGAAAAAAAACACATTAAAATGAGTGCAGCACATCCATTTATCACAAAGAACAAGCTGTGCACTCGGCCGTGTGAGCACAACGTGACGGCTGTTACCTCTTTGGGCGCTTCGTTTTTGATGAACTCCTCGTAAATTCTGTTGGCCTTGGACACCATGTCTGTGTGGGATGAGAGTGTCCTGAAGTCTTCGCAGGCTGTCCAAAACTCAATGTTCTCCTCGCAGAACTCAGACTTCAGGAAAATGAAGAAAGCTGCTTTTCCATCTTTGGAAAAACAAAGACAAAAAAGTTTATATCCTTTGTCCTTCCTCCCAGTCAAATCTGCAATGGTCTATGGCTGACCTTCTGACCCTCTGACCTCTGAGTGGCTCTTATGTAAACATGCCCCAGTCTAAGTGACTAATACTTACATTTATGTGTGAGGAGTTTGTCAAGTGATTCCGCCCATTGCTTTACGTCATCAGCACTTGGCCTGAAGGAAAAAAACAGAGATGTGATCAGAGATAATTACACCAGACCACAGTTGTGTAAGTGTCACTGTGGTCATTACTCATGTTCCGAGTTCTTCACTCTAGTTGTACACTCCTTTATTTTAGTTTGTCTTATCTCTATATTAGTACTGGCGTAGGTTTTCATTTAAATTATTCAGCTGTCAATTGTTTTGGCATCTTTGAATTTCAAATATTGCATAGAAGTAATAAAGTCTTTATTTTAATCATGCAACAATTCTGTCAATGTCAGAAAATGTAAATATAACAAAATACTCAATATAAAAGGAAATATATTTCTATAACTATTTAGAATAAAACATAATATTAAGAAGATGAAGACTAAAGAATAAATGTTAAAAAAAATTGATAACTGATAAAGCACAATTAACTAAAGCAAAAATAGCCCTTGTATTAAAAAATATATATTTCTAAAAACTAAATCAAATGTCTAGGTATCATACTGTATAAAAACTCATTTTTGAGAAGAGAAGAGGCAGCGTCTCACCTGCAGGATCTGTTCTTCATCACATGCAGCACTGAGGGGGAAGAGTTGTTCCTCAGAAGGAACCTGATTCTGTTCCTCCAGTTTTTCCTCCTGTAGAAAATGAAAGAATTATTAAACGGTCAGTTCTCTTCGTTCGGTGCTGAGCTCATTAAATCCAGGCACATTGTGACTAAAATCCGTGCACACTCACCATATTCCCTTCCCTTCTGCGAACAGCTCGGTAGGTATTAAAGCAGCTGTGGACGCCATGTTGCAGAATGATGATGATGATGATGATGATACACTGGCAACTTTCAACCGTTTCTCCTTCTCCCTCTTGACTTGCCAGCCAGCTTTATAGTTTCTCTGCTGTGGATTGCAACAGGCAGGAGGCGGAGCCATGGAGTCACAGATCTACATCATGATTGGCTCTCGCTGTGTAAACAGCCGTTCCCTGGTACAACTGTAAAGACTGTAAAAGAGGCAGTGATAGTGGCAAAAACATTCCCTCCCTGGCTGTTCTTTGTGCTTCCAATTTTAAGCCTAAGGTCAAGATGTGACGTTTTTGGCAGACGGAGCAGCCGTAGTCCTAAAATAAAGCTCTGTCAGGGAGTAATACAACATTTCTCTGTTTACTTGTGCACTTTCGGTCCTGATTTAATCTTAAAAATATTTCTACAAACTGCAGTTGCTCTGTGGTTTTTGTCTTGACACAGCATCAGTGTTATGAAAAGCTATTCTTTCTTCTTTTTTTTCTACATATTTACTGTCACACAAACAACTATAGATACATCCAATCACGTACCGCACATCTGACCTGTTACTTGTGTGTCACCATTCCTGATGCACAACTACTTCATTGTTGGTTCACCTAACCACTTGCACATATTTGATGGATTACGCACACAGGGCGTGAGGTGTCATGTCTGACAGCATGACAAGCACCAACAAAGACAACAATGTTGCAATCACCTCATAGTTCAAAACCCTACCATTGGACAGAGCACTCATAATCCTCATAATTCCTCATATTTATTCAGCAAAAAAAAAAAAGGAAAATGTTCGTCGTTGCTTGTTACACCTGGCTTAAATTATCCTCAGATTTCTGGGACATTTGTGTTTTCACAGCCTGTGGGGGGAAAAAAGACATTTTTATTATGTCTGTTAGTGTTTGTGGAGCTGTTAGGAGAGGTTCTCCTCACAACACGAGTTATGACATGCAGGAACATTGGAAGCTCTTTAAGTAATCAACAGTGGAAGCTCCGAGACCATAGCAGGAAGCTTTAGCGACAGTGTTGTGCCATATGCTTCCCAGCAGTCATGACAGTTTGACTCAACTACGTGCATATCATTGATAGTATTGATTAATTAATGTGGGTCACAGTGAAGAGTCCAACAGATTTGTATTTGTCTCCTACAGCTTAATCTTTTTTAGGGTGTCAGCGGTCATCTTAGCAGTTATTGGGTGAAGGTGAGGGTAACATCCTGAACCGTTCTCTCCCCATCACCCAGTGTTCAAATATTATTATTAGTTTGCTATGGTGGCATTTTTTATTAATTCATGTTTTTTGTTGTAAGGCAAAATCTTATCACGTTGCTTATCGTAGAAATTGCACGATGTTTTCGCACCTCAACTTTATGAAGCTAAATTTGAACTTAAATTATTATACATTATTTTTACATTTTTTTAAAAATCTTTTTCCATATTCCATCATTCGCTGTTATCTATTTTCATATTCAGCAATATACGAAATTTGGAATGTTGATTTACTCCAATCATGATTAATCACAATTAATCCACATCTACTTTGATTAATCTCATTAAAAAATGTCGTTGATTAACAGGCCTACATTCAACATATGACAGATTATTTTGAATGAATATAATGTCACCAAAAATGTCCTGCATCAGCCAGTCATTTTTGTAGGTCTACATTTTCTCACGTGTTACTGCTGTCGCCATTTTCTTTATTTTTTTTTTATTTTTTTGGTGCACATCTGGCAAATGGTTCAGTCATGATATGCAGCAGTACAGTAGTTAATTCAAATGTATATTTGTTTAGTTAGACCTGCTGGTCATTTATCTACTGGGGTGAATAAGTAAACCATTGGCTATGTTTCCATTTTGTCATTGTTAGCCTGCAAAGTTGTGGTGGGAGGAAAAGTTCCCATTCTCCTTTTAGGTCTAATTTGTCAACATGACACTCCAGTGGAAAGGTAAACATGGAAATGAGCAAAAATAATTCACTCTGTGCTGAAAGGCCTGGAAGGTCAAAGATTATTAGAGTTATTCAGAAAAGTGCACAATTAATAGCAGATAAAACAACTTGAATTTACAGTTATTGCAACAGTGCCTGTAACTTTGGCAATGCCGGCCATATTTGGTTACTTACTCCACTTTGGAGAGCCTTGTCCAAAATACTGGAAAAAGCGCAGATCGGGGAAGTTTGTACAAGTACAGTTCAGGTCCATTTCCTGTCATCATGGGGGTTCACGTTATCATATCCCAGAAATGCTGAACCTAAGGGTAAGGAACTGGACTGGTGTTCGCAGAGAAAAAAACACTTTGTCCCAGATTATCGAAGCTGCAATACAACTGCGTCACCACCTGCTGAGGTGGGCTGTGATTCCTGGCGTTCTCCCTCCGCCTGCTGCACCGTGTTGGAGATCTGCTGGGTGAAAACACAGTGTTCGCCTCGTGTGTTTATTATGGTGTGCAGACAGTGTGTAAGCAGCTGTCCGTTTAGAAGTGGAGGGAGAACAGAGCCAAGTTTCCATTGAGGTATGAGGTCTTTACGCAGGAGGTGATTCCCAGCACTGGCCTGTAGAGTTTGTCCTTTTAGTGTGTTTGAAAAAAAAATGTTATCTGTAAAGTCTGGCTGCTCTTGGACAGCATGTGGAAAGTCTCTCTCTCTCTCATTAGTTTGCAACTATTCACTGTTGTCCACTGGGGGAGCTATAGAGTAGTGTTTAGATCGAGGCACCACTTCAATCACAATATTTTTGCAGCAGATCTTTGTACAGTCTAAGAAATATTTATAAAACCCTTTCACACAGCCAGCAGTTTTGGGTTAAGTCTCATTCATGAAGACATTCTCTTGGTGACAAGAACATTTATAAAAAATGTATGCAAATTCAAGAAAAGAAAAAAACTCAATGCTTGTACTTCCTTGGTTGATTAAATATATATTTATTTGACATGCAGCATTTGGTTGCTGTGTATGAAAGGATTTGTTGTGGACAGCAGTGCGTACGTAGCCTAATTTCGTAACCCATATTAGATCATACCTCCCACCATATTTGCCTCCTCAAAATTAGCATGCTTCTGATGTTGCGAACTGTTACCAGCAGGATAAATACATAAAATATTAAAATAGCATTGAGAGTATGTTGACGCTCTCTGAAGTCAATGATCTTAGACTGCTGTTGATGTCACAGTTAGCACAGTTTCCTGTTTGCACATGGCTCTAACGTACATGTTGGTGGAGTGAGGCCACATTTTTCTCCTCCCTCAACTGAGGGAGGTGTCGATGGTACAGAGGAACTGGAGATACAGAACGTCCTGCAGCCACTTGCAGCCTCATTATCCACATTGCTGTAGTGCATCACTTGTTGCCCACCCTGTGAGTGTCTTTGCAGCAATCATGTGAACACAGTTATGACCTCATTGCTTTTTCCAGTGGGCCTCCTCCTGTGCACCTAATATAGCCTGCAGTCGTTGGTTAAGGATGTGTGCCTGTTTCCTGTATGTTGAAGTGCCCAGAAATCATGTTAAGGAAACGCATACTTGTTATTTACCATTATAGGAATTTTTACAAATATCCAGTGCATAATCACTGTAAGTTAAAACTTGTTGATTTCCTGTATACAAAAAAAAAAAAAAACTAACAAAAGGTGTCAGTCATTCCTTCACTGACCATCATTGTCATCCCTCAATCCTTTTTCAATCCTTTATATTTTATTGTGGCTGATGGAAAGTAATGTTAATATGTAGTGTGTTAGTAAAAATCAGCTGAAGAGTGTTTGTACACTTGTACCCTGGGCCTGAAGGAAACTTTCTCCTTTTTGTATGTACAGTATAATCTATACTTCACATTAAAAAAATGTGAACAAAAAAATCCTTTGCTACTTCACTGACAGCTGAATTAAAAATTGAACTTTTTATGGCTTTGTTTTCCAAATTTGGCCTTGGAATTGAAAAAAATAAGAATCCTTCCTTCCTAGAGAGAACCTTTGATCCAGCCAGATGTGGTAGAAAAGTATGTGAGGGTGGTGCCAGATATGTAGATGATATACATGTATATATCGATGTATTGCTGGTTTTAGTGTAAACATTGAGTAACATCAAGTATCATTTTGTACCATTCGTGTTTTCTGTGTCAGTGGAGGTCAGTGGATCATGATTTCTCGGTGGATCTTGATGTTTACAGGTGACAGAAATAAGGTTTACATGACCTCACTCTGTGAATTAGTTGTTTGAGTTTCCTTTTGACTCTTGAAGATTAAAAGTGAGTGTCAGAAATAAGGTTGATAGTTCGATGGTTTGATTCCTGGTCTGTTTTTATAAAGTTTACATGACCTCACTCTGTGAATTAGTTGTTTGAGTTTCCTTTTGACTCTTGAAGATTAAAAGTGAGTGTGAATGGACTAGACAACAATCTAAAGTGTGACCTGATTACCCCCTCACCCTGAAAAGTTCTTGAAGATTAAATAATGAATGAATAAGGAAACCTAATACAAGTGAAATAACACAGTTAGTTCCTTTAAGAGTGTTCACTGATGTTTGTTGAAATGGACTGAATGTGTTGTGACAACAATAACACTTGTTAACTGTACTCATGTGTCTTTACATAGTCGTTAGTTAAGTGCAAGTACAACAGGCACAAATTATTACTACCTTCGATAATTATACGCTTGTTAACAAAAGCTGATCATTATTAAAACACAACCAGTATACTGTACATAGTGGTCTGAGAGGACAGGTTTAGGACGGGTACTCAAACAGGTTCCACCCACACCAGGAATTAAGACATGGGCTAAGGCGACAAGAAATGTTTTTAACCTCATCATTTTGATTTGCGAAATAGTTTAGGCATAATGTAGACCAATGTGTTCTGTTCTTGTGGCGAGAGTGTGATTAAGTTGAGCAATTGTGGGGAATTAAGGGATTATAATAATATTAATTATAGATGTTCATTGATCCGGCCTGGTTTCAAAGCTGCTCATTTGTTGTTGTTGTTTTAAGTAGATCAGGACACAGAGTTTGTACACATTTGTTCATTATAGCTGAGCTCTGACTTCATTTTTAGTCTTTTAAAGAAACTTTTTTTTTGTTTGTTTTTTGTATTTTAAACCAGTTAATCAATGATAACACATTACAGTGTTACTCGTTTTTTTAAGAAATTGTGTAGTTTAAGTAGTTAATGAAAAAAATAAATTAAATATTTGTTCTTGCGTCATACTCCAGCGTGTTGATCAGCTTGTAACTGCAGAGAGAAAAAACAAGTCACAAAGAAGGACGATCAGATGTCATTTCCTCTCATTTTGTTCACTGCCTCCTTGTTTCCCTGTAAAAATATTCAATAATGATGACTAAGTTAAATGTCTGCAGTCAAACCACTGATCAAGACTCTGCGTGTCGTCACATACGGAAAAAATCTTATTCTTCACAATGTCCTATTTCACAAGAAAGTGGAAATATCTGTCTTCCTGTTTTCTAAAACCCTACAACAACATTATATTGCCCTGTCATAATTACACAACAGATCATATCCTGTGATTACAAAAGTGTGACAGGAAACTGCAGACATACATATGCCGTCCTTTGTCAGATATGTTTTCTTATTTGTAATAAGCTTTGAAACTTATGGTCCTGAATATTTGAACTATTTGAAAACGTGTTATATTTCATCCTCTGAATTAACGCCATCTTTGTGACAACAATAGGAACTTCATTGCACTGACGTTACCTTTTCACTTTTAGGGTGAATATAATGTAGGTTGAGCCAAGTAGAACTTGGCAGTGTCTGCACATTTTCCGTCCTGACGCGGGGGAAAACTGCCTTAAACATATAACAGACGGTCATCATACAAACACAGCATCAACTTTTAAGATCGATTCCGCAGGTGTTGACGTTTTCTTTAAACACATGGTGAAATCAGAGCCCAGCAGCACGTGCAGTGAAAAGGCAAAAGTCCTGAAATAAAGTACACTCATTTCTAAGAGAGCAGTTGATATAATTTAATGTCATCTCAAACCAAAACATTTTGAACAAACATCAAGCCATCACTGCAACAAACGCTGTAGTCAAACGGTGACTCTGAAGAATAAATAATACAGTGTTCAACTTTTTGGAAACAATACGGTTTCATCCAAGCACACAATCAGAAAATTCTACAGTTACATTGTGAACTTGAAATCATAATAATTAATTAGAAATTACAACTATTAATGTGTTTGGTTTACATAGTTTTGTGCTCAGGAGTTGAAGTAAAATATTCCTGGCTTTTGGTCACTAAAAAAATAGTTTGACATTTTCAGGTTAGTAAAAACAAAATCTGCAGCCCCTTTCCAAACCTGTAGGAGGTGCTAAAACAGCAATTTAAATGCATGGGTGAGTTTTGTCTGCTGGTAGAAAAATATTGTTTTATGTTAAGCAAAATATCAAGTCAAATATATCAGCAGGTAGTGTGATAAGAATATAGGATTAATTTATACACAGTAGATACAGTTAGAACATATAGCTTATAGGAAATGTGTCTGAAACCAAGAGTACTACATCACAGAGCAGTGTTCTCTACACTAAAAAGAAAATAAAATACAAATAACAAAACATTCAAAGTACTTTACCTTCCTGCCTAAAATAATCCTGATTTTACATTTTGTGACACAAATATTATTATATTATTATTAATATTATTATTGTTTTCGATATTTTATTAACCATAAAAATGTTACTGATGTAATTATCTTTCTTATCATAGCTTTCTATTATTTAGGTATTTGCAGAAACTGACCTCCATTCTGTTGTATCACTGCCACCTGCAGGGCTGACTTTTTTATTGATAAAAGCTTCAGTATCATTGTTGTGTCATTTGCAACAAATGCTTTCTGTATAAAAATAAGTTTTCAACAACCATAAATAACATAAAATGTCACTCTCAATTCTAATCTGAAGAAAAACACTGGCCTCATATTTTATAATCCCCATCTATGGATGTCACATGAGCACAAAGCCCTGGTAATTTCCTGTGGGCTGCTTCTGCCAACTCATTTTGCTGACAGATTATTGCAGTTGGATGCTACAGCACACACACGCACAAACACACACACAGACATGCAGATACACTGCGTCTTGTTAATTATTTCCTGATCTTTACAGGAAACCTCGTTGCAAAGAAGGACAAAGGAGGTCCGTCACATGGCTTCTCTCTTTGCTCCCCATTCAGTCCGAGCCTGACTGACACAGTCACTGTCAGAATGTTATAGTTCATGTGTGTGCACAAACTTATCAGCCAGTTTGTGCACACTGCAGGTCCATTACCTCTGGTTCCCCCTTCTTGGCGGTGTGATCTGTAGTGCGGCGTCCTCACTGTAATGAGACAAAGGCAAAGTTTGTTGATCGATGCCACCGAGGTCAGGTTCCAGATCATGGTGTGCATTGTGTCTGCCTTCTTTGCTATCAGTCCTTCCTCTTGAGGGAGCTCAGACGTTCCAGTTACAGGTTTTATACTTTTCTGTTCTCGTTTCCCCCGCTCTACTTTCACCCTTTCGTTGCTTCGGCAGCAAAGTTTTCTAGGAGAGTCCTATAAATGTCAGAGTGGAGGAACCGTGGATATGAGTCTCTTTCCATCAGCCCGTAAACTATTTTCTGAGCTTCGTCAAAGCAGTGCACCGTGGGAGCCTTGACGTTCCTTTTGATCTGCTCTTTGGTCTGATAGTCGATGTTGATCTGCATTAGACACATAGATAGGAATGAGGGCACAGAGAGTTAGGGAGTCTAAGGAGATACGTTTGACTGACCCTGGGTCAGATTTTAATCTGCAACTCTTTTTTTTTTTCAAATGTTAACAACTATTTAATTGTATTATAATGTATGTAAGTGTAAAAATTCCTATCCGGTCACAAGTACCTCCTTAGGAGATTCTGCTCTGATGAACTGCTCATAAATCTTTTTGGCTTTTGAGGACATCCTGAAGGAAGACCTGATCTTCTTGTAATCCTCACAGGTGAGCCAGAAGTCAATATTCTCATCGCTGTACTCGGACTTGAGGAAGTTGCAAAAGGTCGCCAGTCCATCTTCAGACAGAACAGAAATCATTCCATTTAGATGAGGCAGAGCTTAAAATCATTTTTAAAAACACATTTTCTACATAAATAATTATTTATAGCAGTGTTTTAATCCTCTGGGAAAAATGCGACCTACATTTGGACTCAAGGAGCCTTTCCAGTGACTCTGACCATTGTTGGATATCTTCTAAACTTAGCCTGCTGGGAGAGAATGCAAGTTGAATTACTCAGGGAGAATTCAATTTGGGGAACGAATAAAGCAGGATAAACAGCAAAGGCAGCAAGGGCAGAGCACAGAAGCAGCGTAGTCAGGAGGGAGCGGTTGATGTGTCGATCAAAATTGTACAAAAATGTCAAGCCACTGAATATGTTAGCCTGTGTGTGTGTGTGTGTGTGTCAGTGTGTATTTGCTGTGTGCCAAAGGAAACACAACGTCTCTACTTCATCTGAATCCTTTCATGATGCCATAGATGGAGATGATAGCAGCAGGCTGGCTATTTTAAAACTGAAATGTATGCAAAACACCCGTAAGACGTAGGTGTCCATACCTCTTCGAGCTTGAGGAGTGTGAAAACATACACTGTAGTCGGCATATAAAGTTCTTCCCACTGTGTAAAAATAAAGAAAAAAAATGAAAAAACAAAACAAATGCTGAGTGGATTTAAAAATGCTGACTGACTCTGGACATCTTAAATGACTGAGAAAAGGATCTGACACAGGAAAACATTTCTTTCTGAAATTCATTACTTCTTCTCCACTGTAGAAGTGAAATGTTCACTCACATGTTCCTGTTTCTCTTCCTGTCATCCTTGTCCATGATGAAATGCTACGTGTTGATCGTGTCTGATTAGGATGAGCATTGTTTTCTCAAGTCCGAACTCTCAGGGTCTGCATCCTGGTCAAGCTGCGGCTCACAGACACTCAGAAGGGTTCCCCCTTGGATGGGTCTTTATATACCAGGGCTTCCTGTTGCTGCTGGGATGCATCAGTCCAGCCTAGTCCTGACTCAAGAGGAAGCACCCCTTCTTCCTCCTCCCCCAGCCCCTTGTCCACCCCTTCCTCCCTGTTAGAAACAACACTTTCGCAGACTGTACTGAATATATCCCTCCCTCCTCTTGTTGCCTTCCTCCCTCTTATGCTGCTGAGCTTCCGTTCCTCTCCATCTGCTGCAGCACAATCACTCTTATCCTGATGGGATGAGCCCAACAGTCAGATAGCAGGCGTGTTCACATTATTTTTAGTCTGGAGACATAGATGCAAATGACGGTGTTTGCGATAGGCAAATCTTGACCTCTCGCTGGGTGTTTTCACAAATCTTTACAAACACGGCCTGAAAAGGCAAAGCAGGCAGCGACAAAGTCAGCCATGTGTAAGAAACATCACAGCGACTTTTAAGTTGAAGTGTCATATTTATTATGTGTGAGTAAACAGAAATCTCCTTACAAACAGTAGGTTCTTGTGCAAACTCCATTTTCAGTCACTTGAAGACAGTTTAGCTGTTTTTGTCCAGCTAAAAATATCTGTAGCTTTGCATAATATTGTTCTTTTCAAAAATACTTTTATCACTCATCTCACCTTAGTGTTGTGTTTTGCTACAAGAACAAAGTTCTATTCTATTCTATGCTAATTAATTATAATTCTGAAAATCTTTGTGTGGGTTTGCAAGCATTAACTTCTGAACAAAAATTTTCATTTTATAATTTTAAATATTACAATTTTAATTAAACTATAGCAAATGTTATTTAATTCAGTGTTCAGTATGTGGAAGAATAAATAACAATAATTATTCCTATGTTTTTATATTTAGTTGAACTTATTTAAATTATTTATACTTTATGTATTTATATTAATTTTAACAAAACAACAAAACTAGACTAAATGTTGCATAAAGTTAAAGGAAAACAAAAGAAGCGTCTGATGGAAACTTTTATCTGCCTGTAGAAGTGCTCTGACTAAAAAAGCAAGATGGAAATCAGTCACATTTTATTGAAGTCACTCCTGCTCATCAGCTGATCCCACAGGCTGACCTTTGACCTAGCTCTACTGCTGCTGTTCCTCTCTTTTGCCCAAACACGGTTGAAAGTACTGAGGCGTTGCATTGTGTCACCAAACAGTGTGAGCTGAAAACTGTTCAAAAAAACTAAAACTTTTCCCGTGTCTGTTTACCACTCTGTGACTACACTGAGGACAAACAGCTCACACATTTGGATTTGAATATTCATATTTGGAAGAGACAAGTTCCTTAAGTGTACAGTGTCTTGGCCAACACCACAGACAGTACCCACTTCCTTCTAGTTGCCATGGCAATGTGCTGGATTATGAGAAAACAGTGGCAGCTTTTGCGTGCAGCAGAGTGAGGCAGGAGACGTGAGAATTTGGTGATTTTTGGGGAACAGCTTCTCTCACCCCAGTGTACTCACAGCTACTGACGTTTGACACTGACAGCGTGGCACTCCGAGCTGTCATGTGCTGCCAAGATGCCTCAAGCTGCGGGTCAAAAATACAACATTACAAACAATATTTCACTGATATTCAGGGAAAAAAGCTGTTTGCTTCTTCGTGGCGGTGTGGCTGTCGTTGTATTTCATGCTCATAGATGTTAAAAACACTTGGAAAGACCGTATTATCAAGAACTTTCTTTGATTAAGGTAAGGCACAGCCAAGACCTCCAACCACTAGTAAGTGGACCCATTCTGAGTCGTGCACCATGCAGTGCCCAAAGATTAAAAACTGGATTTAATTGAATATGTGTGAACTTAGTGTTTGTGTCGTTTGGCCAGTTGATCACTAGCTCATTGGTTGGATCTTTGGACTTTCTGTGTGGGAATTGTTTTCTAGGACTTTAAAGGGTAAAGACCCACACATGGCAAAAATGATAGGCGTTTGACTTCTAAAGAAAAGTAAGAAAGTGGTATTTAATTTAAGTAGAGGGTCATCAGGACAGACTCTTGTTTGATTGAACACATTGCTGACATACACACGCTAATTGAAGAAAGGCACACACAAAGATCTTTAACAGCTTTGAGTGTCTCTCTTTATTTCTTACTTTTTCATAGCAGTCGTGCTGAAAAAGCCAGCACACTGGAAGGTTGTGAAAAATGAAATCTCTAATGACTTTCATTAAATAAATATCAGTTTTCAGACAAAAAGAGAAATTGGATTATTTTTCACAGCAAACCTGATGATCTCTCTGGGCTAATTTGCTGTGGCATGGTGGTTGGGAACCGCTGACTTTAAGTTAACCCTCTGCTACCATTGTCTGTGCTATTGTGACTATTTCCCTAACAGGAAAGCACAGTCACACCATGCTGTTACGCACCAGCTTGTCAGATGATTCCGCTGTTGTCATTTAAGCACAGTGGTTATAATTAGCTGCCACGCGACTCCTTTTAAAGATGGTTTCAAAACAAAGTAGGAAAGAGGTTAGCACTGGGTTATTTTTTTCCACCTTGGTAAAACCTTCTGTTGGTGTGAGGAATCACTCGGCAGCTTATTAGAGAAGATTTACTTGTGGCCATAGTTACAGAGTCTATACTGGACAGGCTATGGAAATTCTTGTCTGCTGTCCTGTACAGTCATGTACAACCATGTGTCTAGAATTATTCACTGAATCAGATGAATACTAACTCAAACTACAGAGGATATAAAAAAAAAGAAAAATCAGAGATAGATGTTTTTTAGGTAAGAAATGTATTTTAATGATCCAAAAATAGTTGCATCAAGGGCAACTGGACAGAGTAGGGGTTTTTTATAGACTTTTCACCTCTCATCCTAGAGGCTTCTTCAGTTCTGACTGACTACTAGGAAGTTCTGGTATTTAGCCTCAAAGAGGCTGCATACCTGTAGCAACGGTCATTGCAGAAAGGGGGAATGGAGGTGTGGTGGACCAGACCCTATTCTAAGGAGGGCAGAATGTTAAGTCACAAGGTTAGAAGTGTGAATGGGGAGTGATACCATAGCTCACCTGAGTGACACTTTTGGCTGGGTGTCCTTTGAAATTAAACTGTGCTCTTGTTTTCAGGAAGGGGGTTTAGATTTTTGGGGGAGAGAGAGAACTCGGGATGACATTATAGGTAGATGAAAACTTGTGTCTCAAACCACCACCTCTATTGAGAGATGGTTTCTTGGTTTTCATGATCAATTTCCAACCCTTTCCCAAAACATATTGCATAAATAATTTTTATTCACCTTTTATTTACCTTCATTATCATGTATCAAAATGTACAAACAAAGTCTCACTTCACTCATATATTTCACACACAATTCAAAAACCTTACATCCAAAGTATTTGTATATACTGTAACATTCAGTCCCTTAAGTACTTTCTCATTGACATAACTTTACTCCATTCTCGTACTTTACTCTACTTACTTTACTGTACTTTCTTTTCAACATACAATACAGACTACGCACATGTTAAAAAAATATTTTTTACAGTCTGAGTTCGTGCAAAATGCTGAGAAATCAATATTCAGTCCAGGCAAAAGAAAACTAAAAACAAGCAAACAACAAAAGCAGTACAAAGTATTCTGAAGCTAAATGTACCAGACAGATTTGGATTTACACTTTAGACACAGGTATGCATCAGAAAGCAAAAATCTGGGGCAAGAGTCTCGTTCCATCAGCAGGTAAACGTGTTTCTGGGCCTCGTCGAAGCAGGAGTGGTTGGGTTTTTCCAAAGACTTCCTGATGTTCTCCCTTATATGGTGGTCAACGTTGATCTGAGAGAAACACAAGTAGTCAAGAAATCAGTTAATGAAGACCACAAATAATGCATGTTGCTAAAATGTCAACGTCTTAAGGTGAAATCCAAATGCTACAAATGTCAATGAAAAGCACAGAAAATTATCTCTAAATAAATCACTTAAGTAAGATGACAAAAATTATTGCAATTAAAAAAATGTGTTATATCAAGTCATTCCTCCTCTTACAAAATAACTATAAAAAATACCTTCAAACCATTTCTGAGCAAGTCAAATATATATATAGTCATTTTGGAATAAAAAGAAACAAGGACTGGGTAAGGTCCTGAATAATTGTGATTAATCATGATAAAATATTTTCTGTGTTTTGGGTAAAACTCATTGGTTGAGATGTAGGATGACTTAAATCCCTAAAATAAAACATTTATAAGAAATTTGGTAAATTTATTGGTGCTTCGTAGTTTAAATAATTTTTAAAATTTTGAAAAAAATCAGCCCCATTACACTAAACAGGCAATCACACGATTGTCTACTAGGAAAACTAATGAGAATCGGTGCTGGTCACACCTTATGTTTGTTCTAAGAAGGCGGGACGCTGTGTAATCGCAAACAGCAGCATCAACGGAGAACAGGGTGGGAATGTAGTCTGATCTCTACGTAAAAGGTGCTTGAGTCAGTGTCTGAACCAGTCATCCTACTAAACAGTTTACAAGCCCTGATTTGTATTAAAGTAACCTGACACCATGTTTCAACATCAAGACAGTACACTGCAAAAAATTAGTCTCCACAAAGTAAGAATGCTCTGCGTCAAAGAAATAGTGACTAAAAATAAGTTTTATCTTGTTGATCATGTAATGCATTGGAAAATTAATTACATATTTATAAAATATTTGTTTTTTTCCTCATTACTGCACAATTTTCTTGTATTTAAAAAGCTTTGGTTTTGATTGTAAAGTTTTTTTTTTGTATTATTCGCTGCAATTGGTCAACAACTGCATCTTCTACTTCTACTGCAAAAGCTGGTTCTTTCCTGCAGCCCAATCACCTACAGTTAATTTAATTATTCACCATCTGCTTCATGTACTGTCGATGATGTTGTTTATTTGAGTGTTGCAATGCTGGCTAGCTCTGTTATAATAACGGTTGTTAACGTGCTTTTAGGGTTAGAGATAAAGACTTGAATTTACAGATACTGAAGAGTTTTGTCTTGAGTTTTTTTTATTTTTTTTATTTATCTACGTACTGACCTCTCTGCTGGCCATGGGCTGGATGAACTCTCTGTAAATCTCCTCTGCTTTGCAGCGAAGATCGCCTGTCGAGGTGGTCGACCTAAAATCTTCACATGCGAGCCAGAACTCGATATTTTCCTCGCTGAACTCGGACTGAAGAAAGGTGTGGAATGCGGCCAAGCAGCCTTAAAAATAGTTTTAAAAGTCTTTGTCAGTTTGGATTGAATTTGAGAAGAATCTTAGGGCGGATCAAAAAAAGAAAATCTTACTTTTGTCTTGTAGCACTTCTTCCAGAGATGGCTGGAGTGTATAGTCAGTCTTCCAACTGTAACACAGGGAGAGGTCTGAGAATAAGTTTCCACCTTTATGGCACATAAGCATCCATTGATCATTTAAAGTTAACCTGAGAGCAAAGTTTAACTTGTTACCAACTGCGAGGTGAAAAGAAAACCTAAAGAATTAATCTATGACAATGTCAGGCTTACCTCCGGGGCCGTTTCACATTTTGTATCATACTCCAGATTTCATGAAACCACGTCCTTGAAAACAAAATTTGTGGCATTTTTACATCTCTGTTTATGCCCGTAGAGATGTTGGACATGTCCACAAAGTTACTGTACCGTTGCTTCCTGTGCTCACTTTAAACGCAGGAGAGAACATGTCATTAAGACGCCCAGGGCCTGCCGCTACAGGTATGTGAATACCTTTTAGATAAATGTGCTACTCGCTGACGTCACTGAATCACTGCTATTCTATTCTTGGCTGAAAAGGTTTGTTTGACTGAGATTCCTGGAAAATGTTAATTATTCTGGGATGCCGTGTACAGTTTAAGGACACGTACATTTTTGACATGCCACATATTTGAACATATGTCCACCGTGGGGGGTGGAGATGAATCATGATGATGCACAGTATGAAAAACTAAAAACTAAAAACAAATAAAAACAAAAAATGTAAAAACAAAAATGTAAAAACAAATATGAAAAACTCAAATTTTAAAAGTATCAACCAAGACAAAGGTTTTCAACAAGTGGTCCATGGCATCTGGTAGGTCATACAATTTATCAGAATTCTTTGTTTTTTCGTTCACATATTATGTGACACTTTGCTTACAACATACACATCACAGTTACTGGTACTACAATATCTGTTCGTACCAACCTGTTATTTGTGTTAATTCCAGCAATTTTTTTGACAACAGTGCTGACAGTGGTTTACGTTGATTTTCCTGCATGACCAATTGGAAAACCTTTGTTTTCATATTTGGTAGTAATTCTTGTGTTTCAGCGAGTCACTCTGGCATAACGCATTTTAAAGAATAGCTGTATGTGTCATGGAAGTACACAATGGTGTGGCTGTGTTCTGTTCAATAATGGTGCTATTGTTTTTTTATTTGTTTTTTTTTACATGAGTAGAATTAAGGTAGTAACACCATCACAGTTATACACAATGGAGACATGATTAAAATAAATAATAATAAATAATAAATAAATTGGTTTTATTTTTTTTTTACTTTTTTTATCTTATTTGATATTTAATTATTGTAATTTTAAGCAACATAAATATTACACACCCTAATAATAAAAAAAAAAGAATTTCTGATGACAATCAACTTCTGTGTTTCCTTTCAAAAACAGTGAGGTTAAACAAAGCACTTCAGGTATGAATGTCATACCTTTGTGTCACATCCCAAATATGTGTTAAAATGTTCCTCTGACACATGGGTGGTGATTAAAAAAAACAGTAATCTGAAGCTGATAGATTAATATTAACTATCAAACAACATTTAACCCTCGGAGCAGCTTTTCTGGCCTCTGTATTATTTCTGTTCTGTTAACTTTTGTTAATTTTCAAATTTGTGAAAATTAACAAAATGAATGAATGTCAAACCTCACCTGTTTCTGGTAAAAACACATTTTACATCAACCCAGAATGTTCCAAGAACACAAGACAATATTTGTTTGTAATTCATGTATGTAAAATTATAATAAACGTGACATTTGACTTGGACGTTTAATTTTTCAACAAAATTCTATGCTAGTCAGAAGATGAAAAATGTTTATGAATTATTTTGAAAAACAAAATTCAAAATTCTACCTTTTCTGCAGGTATTTCGTCAAATTCGAAAATTGTTTTGATATTCGTCAAAATTCTAGTTTCACATGTCAACTTAGTCATGTCAAAGATTTTCATGAAAAATTTTAATTTTTTTTCAAAACATTATCATTTCTGCATGTTTTAAATCAAATTAAAGCATTTTGAGAAATTTTTTGACACAATTCTAGTTTTGCATGTCATGTTAGTCAGGTCAAAAATTTTCATGAAAAATTTCTAAAAAATCTTTTCAAAATGTTATCTTTTCTGCATATTTTTCATCAAATTATCCCTCGTGTTGCCCTTTGGTTCCAGGTGATCCGATGGCTGCCAACATACCTTTGCTTTGCGTGTGTGTGCACCTGTGCTACATTTGTTGTTGTTCATGACGTTTCAGAGATCATCTTTTGTTGTTGAATATCAGTAAGAAGAAGAAGAAACTGAGAATAAAGGCAAAGGTGAGTGAAACAACATTTGAAATCACACTGCCTTCTGATTTCAAATGATCCTTTTTTGTCCTCTTTGTGTGTGTGTGTGTGTGCGTGCGTTGAATATCAGGAAGAAGAAGAAGAAGATAAAGAAAATGAGAATAAGGGCACAGGTGAGTGAAACAACACTGGTTGAACATTTTTGTTACGCCAACATTTGATTACAGTAAAATACTATACCAATAAGTTCCTGAACAAATCTCAGAAAATAAAAGTTTCTCAAAAATGATTAAAAATACACTAATTTCTCTTAAAATACTTAGCTATCTCCATTTTTATTGTTAAAATTCAGAAAAAATATACTTTTTTGGTAAAACCAACATTTGATCTCAATAAAATACTATACCAGTAAGTTCCTGAACAAATCTCCAAAAATAAAAGTTTCTCAAAAATGATTAAAAATACACTCACTTGTCTTAAAATACTTCGTTATGCCCATTTTCGTTGTTAAAAGTCAGAAAAAATACTTTTTTCGTACACGAACATTTGATCACAGTAAGAAACTAAACCAATAAGTTCCTGAACAAATCTCAGAAAATAAAAGTTTCTCAAAAATGATTAAAATTAAACTCATTTGTCTTAAAATACTTCGCTATGCTCATTTTTGTTGTTGAAATTCAGAAAAAAGTTACTTTTTTTGCTACACCAACATTTGATCACAGTAAGATACTATACCAATAAGTTCCAGAACAAATCTCCGAAAATAAAAGTTTCTCAAAAATGATTAAAAATACACTAATTTGTCTTAAAATACTTAGCTATGCCCATTTATGTTGTTAAAATTCAGGAAAAATATATTTTTTTGGTATACCAACATTTGATGACAGTAAACTACTATACCAATAAGTTCCAGAACAAATCTCCGAAAATAAAAGTTTCTCAAAAATGATTAAAAATACACTCATTTGTCTTAAAATACTTCGCTATGCCCATTTTTGTTGTTAAAATTCAGGAAAAATATATTTTTTTTTTTTTGGTATACCAACATTTGATGACAGTAAACTACTATACCAATAAGTTCCTGAACAAATGTCCGAAAATAAAAGTTTCTCAAAAATGATTAAAAATACACTCATTTGTCTTAAAATACTTAGCTATGCCCATTTATGTTGTTAAAATTCAGGAAAAATATATTTTTTTGGTATACCAACATTTGATGACAGTAAACTACTATACCAATAAGTTCCTGAACAAATGTCCGAAAATAAAAGTTTCTCAAAAATGATTAAAAATACACTCACTTGTCTTAAAATACTTCGCTATGCCCATTTTTGTTGTTAAAATTCAGAAAAAATATACTTTTTTGGTACACCAACATTTGATCTCAATAAAATACTATACCAATAAATTCCTGAACAAATCTCCGAAAATAAAAGTTTCTCAAAAATGATTAAAAATTCACTCATTTGTCTTAAAATACTTAGCTATGCCCATTTATGTTGTTAAAATTCAGGAAAAATATATTTTTTTGGTATACCAACATTTGATGACAGTAAACTACTATACCAATAAGTTCCTGAACAAATGTCCGAAAATAAGTTTCTCAAAAGTGATTAAAAATACACTCATTTGTCTTAAAATACTTCGTTATGCCCATTTTTGTTGTTAAAATTCAGAAAAAATATACTTTTTTGGTACACCAACATTTCATCACAGTAAAATACTATACCAATAAGTTCCTGAACAAATGTCCGAAAATAAGTTTCTCAAAAGTGATTAAAAATACACTCATTTGTCTTAAAATACTTTATGCCCATTTTTGTTCTTAAAATTCAGAAAAAAATATACTTTTTTGGTACACCAACATTTCATCACAGTAAAATACTATACCAATAAGTTCCTGAACAAATGTCCGAAAATAAGTTTCTCAAAAGTGATTAAAAATACACTCATTTGTCTTAAAATACTTCGTTATGCCCATTTTTGTTGTTAAAATTCAGAAAAAATATGTTTTTTTGGTATACCAACATTTGATGACAGTAAACTACTATACCAATAAGTTCCTGAACAAATCTCCGAAAATAAAAGTTTCTCAAAAATGATTAAAAATACACTCATTTGTCTTAAAATACTTTGTTATGCCCATTTCTGTTCTTAAAATTCAGAAAAAAATATACTTTTTTGGTACACCAACATTTGATCTCAATAAAATACTATACCAATAAATTCCTGAACAAATCTCCGAAAATAAAAGTTATTCAAAAATGATTAAAAATACACTCACTTGTCTTAAAATACTTCGCTATGCCCATTTTTGTTGTTAAAATTCAGAAAAAATATGTTTTTTTGGTATACCAACATTTGATGACAGTAAACTACTATACCAATAAGTTCCTGAACAAATCCCAGAAAATAAAAATTTCTCAAAAATGATTAAAAATTCACTCATTTGTCTTAAAATACTTAGCTATGCCCATTTATGTTGTTAAAATTCAGAAAAAATATACTTTTTTGGTACACCAACATTTCATCACAGTAAAATACTATACCAATAAGTTCCTGAACAAATCCCAGAAAATAAAAATTTCTCAAAAATGATTAAAAATTCACTCATTTGTCTTAAAATACTTCGATATGCCCATTTTTGTTGTTAAAATTCAGAAAAAATATACTTTTTTGGTACACCAACATTTCATCACAGTAAAATACTATACCAATAAGTTCCTGAACAAATGTCCGAAAATAAAAGTTTCTCAAAAATGATTAAAAATTCACTCATTTGTCTTAAAATACTACTTTATGCCCATTTTTGTTCTTAAAATTCAGAAAAAAATTAATTTTTGTGGTACACCAACATTTGATCACAATAAAACACTATACCAAAAAGTTCCTGAACAAATCTCAGAAAATAAAAGTTTCTCGAAAATGATTAAAAATACACTAATTTGTCTTAAAATACTTCACTATGCCCATTTTTGTTCTTAAAATTCAGAAAAAATATACTTTTTTGGTACACCAACATTTGATCACAGTAAGATACTATACCAATAAGTTCCAGAACAAATCTCCGAAAATAAAAGTTTTTCAAAAATGATTAAAAATACACTAATTTGTCTTAAAATACTTTGTTATGCCCAATTTTGTTGTTAAAAGTGAGAAAAAAAATATTTTTTTGGTACACCAACAGTTGATCACAGTAAAATACTATACCAATAAGTTCCTGAACAAATCTCCGAAAATAAAAGTTTTTCAAAAATGATTAAAAATACACTAATTTGTCTTAAAATACTTCGTTATGCCCATTTTTGTTGTTAAAATTCAGAAAAAAAATTTTTTGTGGTACACCAACATTTGATCACAGTAAGATACTATACCAATAAGTTCCAGAACAAATCTCCGAAAATAAAAGTTTCTCAAAAATGATTAAAATTACACTAATTTCTCTTAAAATACTTAGCTATGCCCATTTCTGTTGTTAAAACAGAGAAATAAATATACTTATTTGGTACACCAACATTTGATCTCAATAAAATACTATACCAATAAATTCCTGAACAAATCTCAGAAAATAAAAGTTTCTCAAAAATGATTAAAAATACACTAATTTGTCTTAAAATACTTCGCTATCTCCATTTTTATTGTTAAATTTTAAAAAATACATAGTTTTTTGGTAGGCCAGCTTTTGATCACAATAAAACACTATACCAAAAGGTTCCTGAACAAATCTCCGAAAATAAAAGTTTTTCAAAAATGATTAAAAATACACTCATTTGTCTTAAAATACTTTGTTATACCCATTTTTGTTCTTAAAATTCAGAAAAAATATACTTTTTTGGTACCCAACATTTGATCACAGTAAGATACTATACCAATAAGATCCTGAACAAATCTCAAAAAATAAAAGCTTCTCAAAAATGATTAAAATTACACTAATTTCTCTTAAAATACTTAGCTATGCCCATTTCTGTTGTTAAAACAGAGAAATAAATATACTTATTTGGTACACCAACATTTGATCTCAAT